GTATTAGTATAAATGTGGTAAATGACCAAATAATTAGAGACTAACTATATTTACTGTCAATATTATATATTGATAATATATTTATTATCAATATATTTATTTATCAATAAATATATTGATAAATATATCAATATATTTCAGTAAAGATGCATCATGCCATTTTTACTTAATGCTAAGTGCCTTTTTGTTTTTAAACATTAAAAAGTAACATTTTTTAAAAGCATACACAACTATGTGTAGAAGCTCACTTCTAATAAACAACTTAAAGGAAAATAGTAATTTTCCATACAAGATTACTATTTGAAACAAAGATGATTAGAAGCAATATATTAATGTCTAGATGTAATTAACCTTAGAGAGATGTTTAGTATGAATGGGAGTGTATCTGAGAATGTAGCTTTTTTCAGGAAAAAACAGGCTAAAACATATTCTACTTGAATGAAGAAGTAGTAAAGACAGATTCGATTCTGTGCAATTCAGGTTCTGTAACTAGAAAACAACCTGGAAAAAAAATCAACTTTTTAATTTTATGATTTTAAAAACGGTTTTTGTGTTTCAAGGAGCTCCAGGTGCCTATAAGTACCAAAAAAGTCTTCAAACATATTATATATAGGCTTTTGAAATGAAATATATGATTACTCTATTTTTTGCAGCATTTTAAATACCTAGTTCACAAAGTTTAAAAAACCTCACCACATATGAAATTTATATTCCAGAAATGTGAACTTGTAACATAACTTGTGCTCACATAAGTCTTTTTTGGGTCCATGTATTCCACACTAACTATTATTTTGTTTAAAATGCAAAAGTCAGATGGTCTTGCTTTTGGGTATTTAAACTTTTCTAACAAAGAAGAATCTAATAGCCATTTAAGAACACTAACTGTTGAAAATACTTAAAGACTTTATTATGACTAATGAATAATGACTACTTAGGAATTGCTGCTAAAGGGAGGATGCACTTCTGACTAGGATATACAACATGGTTCTGCCTCCCTCTAGTTTACAGACTTTTTGCGGGTCACATAATTCCTACTATTCTTCCTCATTTTTCTTCACTGTCGTTTCCTCTCCTTCCACCCATGCAGTTATCACTACTTGCAGTTCCAACAACAGGGTGCTCAGAATATCAAGCAAAAGTGCTTTTTGCATTTTATTTATTTATTTTTAATGTATCTCAGGCAGTACAAAACCAGGCTTTATGAGCTGATGAACCCTGTTTTTACAGTGCAGTCTGAGGATGACCTGCAATAAATAGGTCTGTGGGACAATCCAGAAGTTTTAATTTTTATCCAGTGACCTATGTGATTCCTAGGCACAATAAAGTTTGAGAAATAACTACCCCCCCCACCGCCCACTAAACTCTGTGGGATATAGAAAAGGAACATATTAAGTTCATATTCACATTTTCTAAAAGGGTAATGAATTATTTAAAATAGATCAAGATCTATTTTTCTGTGATAAAATACTAGCACTGAAACAACTACTGGTAAATTAACTTTCAAAGGAAGATTATGGCTTTGCCTTAATATACCCATCAAATAGATCAGCATATAATAATATATCTATGTAATATATAGTGTAATGGGAATTTCTCTCCTTTCATATTCTATAAATATGCCAAACTAGTTTTTAGTTTAACAAAAGCTCTATTAAAAATTGACTGTTTGGATATAATAAAATATTATGGTTCAAATAGAATGGTTAGCAGATGATGTAAGACCAGGCTACACATGTTATACTATTATGTTTGCTTACTTTTCTATATTCTAGATTGAAAGCATTGTGAAGGCAAATACTATCTTTTTTCTAGTGCCCAGTAGAGAACAGACCACAGGGTAGACACTCATTTAGTAAATGTTTGTTGAATGGATGAATAAATAAATGCCTGGAAATCCAATGTATATGCATCCCAGAAAGAACATATACAAACAAAATCATCTTGGAAATTAAAAAAATAAAGTAAAATAAAATAAATGAAAACTACATGTAGCTATAAAAAAAGAAGAGAAAAATAACAGGAATAGAAAATATTTATCTTTTAAAATAAATAATAAATAATCATCCTGGCTGATCTGATTCAGTGAGCAAAGTTCCCAGAAGGTTTAGATAAGCTTTTAATTTTTATATATTACAAGGCATATTTCCATAATTCTGCAAAGTTGTTATTTCTGACATATCAGTCAAAAAGGAAATTGATATTCCAGGGTGCTAATGACCCAGTTAGTGTTGAAGGTGGTGGTTATTTATTACTTGGAAAAAAATCTGGGTGAGGAAATAAAGGTCAGAAAAACTTGAAAAAAGAATAAGAAAAAAAAACCTTTTTGTTTAACTGAATTTACTGTACTAACCCCTTAAATTCAGAACTAATTAAGAATATTGTGGTACTATCCATAATTGCATGCTGAGTGTGTAAATTTAAAAATGGCCATTTCAATTTTCATTTCATCAAGACAAGGAGGAAAATGAAATTGAATACTAATTAGGGCATGTGTCTCATACACCTGAAAGATTAGAGGAATACTGTGCTCATTATAAGTGAGTTTAAGTAAAGTACTCAAATGTTTCATTTGAAGGACTGAATATAAATAAAAGAATTAAATGACAAGGGAAATTACTAATGCTCAAACAAAGAATATTTGGTACATATTTAGACTTCCCAGAGCCTCCTAGATACGGTTTTCCTTTAAGAAAGGGATACACGTTTTCTTTTTAGAAAAATAACTTAGAAAATAAGATGTTATTAGAGAATATAATAACATAATACTCTGAACACAATCATGAAGTACGTATTGAATAACAATGGTGAGTTTTCAGTTTTCCTCCCATCATATGCAAGATTTCCTCATCTAATATAAACCCTTTTATTTTACTTTTACTTGTTTTTCTCTAAAAGTTCATTATCATCTTTACACCAAAAGAAAAATAATAATAACCATAGCAATAATAGTAAAAGACTGCCCTTAAAAGAAGTATTTAATTATTCTACTTAGGTTGATAAAGTTATATTTAATCTAAGTTCCTCTAAGAGTCTACCACTGTCCCGTTTCACTGAGGTTATTTCTACCTATAATCACTGGGATAAAGAAGACTTAAAATTCATTCACACTCTGAAAGACTTCTGCATAGTGTTAAGTAGGCAATAAACCGTGACAAAATAAATGAAAAATCAGGATATAAAACAATCATAAGGTGTTTCTCAGAGAAAAAAACTGCCAAAGTGTGTTATTTATGGTTTGTTGAAATAGGAAATCACTGACGCTCACAAACAATTTGTCAGATAGAAACCCTGATGCAAACTTGTGACATCATCTCTCAATTGCTCTACAATTTCTGCTATGAATCATAATTTCTAAAGTTTTATCATGACCTCAATCCTCTAAATACATTTCATAAGGTCAACTTAAAGAATGGTCTCTGGAATGATTTTTAGCAAATAGAATACAAGCATTTTTTGTTGTTTTGTGTTTATTTAAAACTTAACTGGAACTTCATTAGTCTATTATCAAAACTGTAAAAAGGTGCCATTTCCACTCTCTGGAATTTTCTTTGTGCATGTGGCTGTAGATTAGAAAAATCACGTGCAACTTAAGAAGGAATTTCTGCAAATGCATGCAAATTAAATTCATAAAACAAAACAAGAATATCAGGCAACCACATGGAGCCATATAGATAAAAGAAATGTATATAGGATATGTAAAAATTCATAAGAAATCTGAGCAAAGATATATCTGAAGGAGGTTTTGGCCCTGTTTTGAAAGTACTACAGAAATCATACTACTTGGCCGTAAATCAATTTCCCTTTCTATTAACTGCCTATAAAGCAGTCTCTATCTTCTGCTGTAACATCACATCATGGATTCCTATCTTAAAAATTACCTCGGACTCAAACTATGTAGTCAACAGATAAAACAGATCAGCCACCTAAACAAATCAAAATTCTCTAATAACTCCCTATTCCAATGGAATAAAGCCAAAACCTTTTGGTATTCATAAATCCTACAGTGTGCTGAACTCGCACACTAAATTTGAATGCATTCCTCTAGCAACCTAAACACAGGTCATGATTTTCTACATGGCGTTGCCCAGGTTCTCACCTAGCATCTTGGATCATGCTGTTCCCTTGATATCTGGTCTCTACTGAAAGCCATCTTCCAAGGCCTATCTTAAAAGTTGTCTTCCAGTGAGGCTTTCTCATGATAATTAATTACTTCCTCCTCTGACCCCAGTGTATACTGGATTTTCCCTCTCTTCAGCACACATCAATGACTTGTTAGATGTTGTTAACATACTCCCCACCAACAGAGGTATAATCTTTCACAGAAATCATAGTTTGATTACCTTTTCTGTCTCCAAATAGGTAGTTTCCTGTCTCACTTCAGCTAAGGGCTCAAAAAGTATTTAAGTAGATAAAATATAAGATGCAGGCATTACTACCCTCCATCACATCTTTGGGAAATCACTTAGTCTCTTGGTATGGCATTGTTTTCTCATGTTTAAAAAAAAAATAGCTGACTGACGCTAATAAATAATAGAGTATGAATTGAAACACACTCAGCTATTGAAAGAGGGTTCTAAAGACATTTGAGGTGTTATCATAATCCATTGCATATTCTATATTTGCACATATGGAACTACTTAAGACAGAGAAGGAAAAGACACAATTTTTATACTCTTGAAGTATCCAAAGTTGCTACTAAATGTTAACACAGTATTAAGGAACACATGGCGTATGTAAAAACCTCCCTCTTTGATATGTACCTTAAGATTGTGATATTTATAATCCAAGAATTTTAACATTTTTAACCCTCTTAACACACTTTCCAATGGAATGTGCATGTTTCCCACAGTTTCAGAGTTTATAGTCCATTTGGACTCTAGCTAAATCATCCTTTCCTCTGTGACCATGAAGAAAAGTCACACTTTGGACCCTCACTATCTTCTTTGTGAAATGACTCTGGTCATTCCTTGCCAGTAACCTTGTTTCATCCCATCTGTTACCTGAATCCATGGCCATCTGTCATTTTCTGCAGCTGTCCAGGCATTTATAAGCCCCTTCTTATTAAGACGTGCATAGTAGGGATACCATTTCTGGAGTCCAAAAAGAGCTCGGTGGGTAGATGAAGCTGTAATTTGCTGATTTGAAATGATTCCACCTTCAATTCCCAATGGGCCCGAGCATTCTGGGAACAAATGAGGAAAAAAGTTTGAATGTATTAGAAATAATCCATATCAAAATATGGCTGTTAGATTTGATGGGAGATATTTTTAAAGTGATTTCAACGTGGACCATCATGCCATTCAAGCCCCTCGGAATTTACAGATTTGTTACTGATCACTACATGAAGGAAATAATTCTTTTTTTTTTTTTTCTTTTTGCGGTACGCGGGCCTCTCACTGCTGTGGCCTCTCCTGTTGTGGAGCACAGGCTCCAGGACGCGCAGGCTCAGCGGCCATGGCTCACGGGCCCAGCCGCTCCGCGGCATGTGGGATATTCCCGGACCGGGGCATGAACCTGTGTCCCCTGCATCGGCAGGCGGACTCTCAACCACTGCGTCACCAGGGAAGCCCAGGAAATAATTCTTGCTCTCATGCCACTCTCTTCTTCCTTTGCTTTGAACGTGGCACCTGGACATGTCCCTTCTGCACTGTGATTCTGCGTTATGTACTGTTATCCTCTGCTGATCACATTAACAAAAGTGTAATGTCCTTAAAAGGTCTCTCTCATATTTTATATTCCCATTAGCATGCCCCACAAATCATAATTCCTCAATAAATATCTGTTGATCCATTATTTCTTGACTAGCCTACATCTGAGGTTTGTATCAAAATCATTTTCATACTGACTTAGCATTTCCCACTTCTATAAATTTTTTAAGTTAAATTTTTATAACCACTGTCAGTTATGCTTCTACAAAAAGGGCAATGTGTAAATCTGTCAACATTTAAAATTATTATAATAATAACTTGTGATATGTTATAAGTAACAGGAAATATGTAGACAAATTATTTTTATAGAGTAAGCAAGTAAGCACTCAGACATTATATAGAGCAGTATAAATACCACTCAGTAAATCAAGATATTAAAATTTTGAAATCCACAACTCTACCAATTGGGATTTTACACAGACATTTTAGCTTTTTTCTTTTATTGTTCTTTAAATATGCAACTTGGAAATTCAAGGTAAATTTCCTAATAAAAATTTTAAATACTAAGATTAAAGCATAATATGCTCAAATAATATGTTCTCAGATACCAAAAGTGTTTAGATTTTAAGATTAGAAATGAAGGTAAATCAATCTAAAAATTATATAGGTACTATATATCATATGCATTCGAATTTCTTAATTATTTCCTAAAATTTCACCAGAAAGTACATTTATTGTGAATTCAGTTTTGAAAATTCAGAATATGATATAATAAAAAGTAATACCTAGTTTTCTTAATTTCATTAACATTTCATATACTACATTCAACTTATTACAAAATTAGATTTGTAAAATACATATGATAATTCTATTATAAAATACACTATAACATACTAGAATTCCTGAAAATATGAAAGGAGCATACTGCTGTTATTAAATGTTAGTGTATATAAGTCAACTTGATCAGTGATTGCTACCAAGCATATTTTAGATTTTAATTACTATTGAAATCTAATGATTGTCAGTAATTAAATGTTTACACTCAGATTGAGATTGAAAATATGAAAGGAAGAACTTTGCCACTGGAGTATAATATTTTAAAAAGTTACGAAGATGTTTCTCACTGGTAACCATTTTTTCACTAAGTGTAAACATGTTTCTTTTTTCTATTCCAAGCTCAGATAATAAGTAGTTCTAAGCACATTACTTACTAACATTTCCCCAATGAATTTAAAACCTTTAAAAACTTTTTATAAAAACAAAAATGTGTGGATAAGTAATCATCTTAATCAGTTGTTATTAGTAAAGATGACATTAATACAGCAAAAATTGCATCTCTGTGATTGACAGCTGACAAGTCATTCACTTGATAAGTTAAATTTAAGTAGTAAGATCTTTTCTAAAGAATTGTATTTAGAACTCTTTAGCACTTTATAAAGGTGTGCTATATCATTTTGAAGTCATTAAATTAAGAAGCCATTCGTTTTTAGAGTAGCAGTATTAGAAGCCAACGATAATAATCTGATTTCCACATTCCTAAAAAATTAACGTTGAAAACTCAAATGTTGAGTCTTTGGCCTCTTGCTTTGCATTTCAAACTTCAAGATCTTTACAGATTTCATAAAAGCACTAAGAAACTTTCATGACGCTCTTTGATTTTAAGCAACTGCAGGAGCCTGGCTTTTTAAGAAAATTGCCATTAAAAAGAGTCTCAAGGGTGCTTGTCCTTGATTTGTACAATGTTCAGATGGAAAAATGCAGCAGGCAGGGAGGCCATTTATTGTAGGCCCGTCAGTGGCATGGCAGAGTTAGAGAGCCAGCTTTGATTAATTAAACTGCTTAGCCTTAGAAAGAACTGTGTACCATTTAGTTGTTTACTTCTAAAGACCTTATGCTGAACTGGATATCTTCACTGAATTTTTAACCATTTTAAATAAAATTAGACCTCAAACTACACTGTTCAGTATGTCTACTTTGTCAGCACTCTTAACCTACCAACCTCCCCTTATTAGCTACTATATCAACAAACACAGTGGCTGTGAACTGTTGCATTATCATATAGGCCAAACACCAATGAGCAATTTAAAAAATATATTTGCAATTTTTTACTCCGCCATAAGGCTCCCAATCTTTGTCATGCCCTCAACAGTCATTCATTCAGATAAAATATAATTAAAAAAATATATTGACATGTTATACTCATATAGGGCTTCACAGCTTACAAAATATTTTCACATGAGCTATCTCATTGTTGTGATGTCAAACTGATGAATACTTCTTTTCTCAGTCCTCAATTCCACAATTTTTTTTTTTAAATAAAGTTTTGTAACATTCACTTACATACTATACTTTATGTTGCTGATCACTAAAGTCCAGCAGAGGGAACATGACTCTGGGGGGTTCTCGACCAAAGCATGAGTCTGTGAGGTATCAGTTTAATTCCTTAAAAATTGAGTGGTCCTCAAGTTTTCTCATTTTAAAAATTGTGGTTATGGTGACCCCTAATTCACCAGTTATGAGGTAAGGAAAGGTAAACAGTGCTTTGCCTTTGTGACTATAAATTGTGAATAATGAGCTTGGTTCTACAAGGCCACTTGCATTTCTCTCTTTAGAGATGAGGTGATCCTGGCCTTTCAGCTCCTGTGGAGCAGGCACCAGATCTTACACTGCTGCATCCTTAGATGCTCACAGTGGCTTGGCTTGTACACAAGAAGAGCTCAATAAATATGTGCTGAATATTGGTATTGGGGGCTTTTTTTTTCCCCCTAAACAGCAAACTAATAAGTAAATCCAACTCTTACACTTTATTTCACACTGGAAAGTTGTCACACACTAGCTTTCCTTCACTCATCATTTGGGCCACAATCAAATGGATGTCATCATAATAAAAGGTTCAAAATCCAATTTCCTTTTGCCTGTGCCATCCACTTCCCCAATGTCCTATTAAATGCAACAATTATAAAAACTAATGAAGGAGTTGCAATTCAGAATGCAAATGATTATACACCTAAGATTAAGTGACCTTAAGCAGCAAACAATAAGATGCTTAAAAGAAAGATAATATGGAGATATACACTGCTATCACTATCCATAAGTGAGGGAAGGATATGAAATAATATTTGAAAAACAATATTAGACAAGCATTCTGAAGTTTGAAAAATGCATCCACATATGTTTCATCACATAATCAAAATAATATTTCAAGGAAAAAAAATTATCACACCTATTTCATAAATGAGGAAACCTTTGAGGAGGGAAGTTAAACTCATAAAAGATGAGTCTAGAATTTAAGCCAAATGCTCTGTGCACAAACAGAAAATAATGTCAACTGATAGAGTGAAGAGTTCAGTAATTCTTTAAAAGTTGATTCTGAATTTCTTTTTCTTCTGCGTTTTTATATGCGGATGTGTGCATAAACATACTAGGAGAGAAGATAGGAAAATTAACATGAAGGAAACGTGTAGAATATTACTAGTGGTACTCAGGATATGACAGAGCTTTCACAAATTGGGATACCTTAAAATAGTAGACAACAGTCTGTGGCAGTGAGCCACAGAAGTAAATATTGAGGTATTATGGTGGTCTGTGTCCCTTTACAGGTGTTAAAAAATTGACCTACTACCATTATTGGCCTATATACTGCTTATCTAATATGGATAGGTTTATTCAGTCTTGACTAATTTATTGACCTCTTACTACATGCCCATCTATTCATCAATATATCCATCCATCCATCCATTCTCCATTCATTAAATTCAGTTTTGAAAAATGCATATTCATTAAAAGCCTACTATATACCAAGCACTTTTCCAGGCAGTGGAGATACAGGGATGAACAAGGCAGAAAAAGTCTCAGCTCTCAGAGTTCATATTCTAGTGGAGAGACAAACTATACACAAACACTTAAATAAACAAGGAAATACCATGAAGTGATAAGTGAAAGGAAAAAAAGGGTGAACCAGGTGGGAGTATGAGATGATCAGAGATGGCCTTTCTGAGAGGTGACATAAATCTGATCTCTGAGTGAGAAGCAGAAGTCAGCTACTGCACTAGATTTACTGTACTGGTTTTCTGAAGGAAACATTTTAATATAATAGAGCAGAGGATGTGAGGTTGGATGCACAGGATTCCCTGGGAGAATAGGAGAGGGAATTATAAGCCAGCTTGGGCTTCAAGGAAAGACTTCCTGGAATAGAGTAGGGATTAACATAGTGAAGAAGAAAGGAAGGGCAGACAGAGAGATAGGAAACAGCCTGGTATGATTAGGGAAGCAGAGGCAGATCAGTATTACTAGACCAAGACGGGCTGGTCAGAGGATAGTCAATGATGGGATGAAGAAGCAGAGATAGCCTAGATTATTCTGCTGAGAAAAATTGATTCTATTAGTGATGGGGAGCTTTTGAAGGATTCTAACTATGGTGATATTGTCATTTAATATAAATGACTGAAGAGGGGACAAAACTATGGCCAAATAGCAAGCTACTACCATGGTCCAGGTGAAAAATGATGCAGGTCTGAAAGGGAAATGGAAAGAA